ATAAGAACACCGGATTATATATCTTACTGTTCTTATATATTATATATATATATATATATATATATATATATATATATATATATATATATATATATATATATATATATATATTATATATAAAATTTAATTGTTAATAAATGTTTCACATTCTATATATTAAAATTCTATAAATTATATGCTAAATACGAGGTTTAGAACTATTATATACCGTACCTATAAACAATATTAGGTATGACCCATTCCTCATAAATACGTTGCATACTATTTTAAGTGGGTGTCAATATGCTGTCTAGGCTGTCAGCGTGAGATGTCAGCGTGGGAAGCTCTTGTCGTGTCGAACTCCTCTGCCCGAAGGCAGAGACGAACCCGGACGAGGCTATGCCGATGATCGGAATCTCGTCCGGTGGTGTAGACACATACCCGATCCGGCGTACAAGCAATTTTTGCCCGAGCCTACGGGCTCGAATTGACCCACATTAAATTTGGCTTTGTTCTACATTCTACCTCGTGGGAAGGCAGGTAAATACCGTAATATTCTGTCTAAGTAGCCGATCACTAGTAGACGTTTACCTACTTCACAGCGCTGTTGAATATTTTATTTTGTGTTATAAGGATTACCTTCGATTTGGTTATTCCTCATTCAGTAACCCTTTCTAGATTACAATACTCTCTTTTTTTCTCTCTCTCCATCTTTCTTTCATAAGATTATTCATTAGCTCAATACTCAGGTTTTTTTTCATAGCTTTTTCCTGTATCTTCTCTTTCTCTACCTTACCCTTTTGAATCTTCTTCACTCTTTCTGGTTCTTATTTGAATCTTGTACAAACTTATTCATTTTCATATACTGTTATATACCGTATCTTTGAACACTAATTAGTATGTCCCAATCATCATAAATACGTTGGACACTATTGTAAGTGTGGGTAATATTCTGTCTAAGTAGTCCACCACCAGCAGTGGTTTACCTACTTCACGCCGCTGGCGAGTATTGTATTTTGTTGATGTTATAAAGATTACCATTTCATTTCCAACCTCCGTTTTGGTTATTCCTCATTCAATAACCTTTCCTAGGTTCCAGTAGGAACTATGTTTTATTTATGTATTTATTTCGTCATTGATAGGCACGTGTTAGTAAGATGCTACGTATATAATAAAAAAAGATAAAGGAAGACGCCGGTATAAATTATTATCTCCTAATGGAGTAGAAACTGAAAATCACAATTCAGAAACGTGAATGGGTGAATAAACAAAAGTAATGAAGTAATTTCGAACTGTCGGCAAACAGACACATACATTTTGAAAAACAAGAAAAGAAGTGAGCCATGATCGAAAACAGGCTGTTAAAAGGATAAGTAATCTCCACAAAAATTTACGTCTATTAAAATGCTGTTTTAAAAGTATTTAAAAGAGAAACCTTTTATATATTCAAGAAAAAGTCTGTAAAAATCACGGAACCATATGCAGGATGCGATGGATAAATTGTCACCATTTTATATTTTTTTATTTCCCTCACTGTCGGGTTTTTTTTTTCTTTTTTTTTTTTGACTGCTCAGTATAGTAGGGTCAGTCGGACACCGTTTGTGAGAGAAAGAGCACCATGACTCACGTCACCCCGCCAGAAATTGGTAAACGGCATTCTATACTGTTTGGCATTCGCAGCAATACCAAATTTCATTGCTTTTCGATGCCAATCAGAGGACAGTAGAAAAAAAGAGTTGAATGAGTCAAATTGGAATTACGATGGTACGATAGCTCGGATAACACTCTGATCGTTTGTTGATGAGGGCCTCAGACTCAAAACAGGATGGCTGCTGGAATACCCCATGTCTGCCAACAGGACTCTGCACGATGCCACACAAGAAGGAAGCTCCAGACATGGCTATCAGACAATTTCTGCGACCACAAAACCTTTATTCCTAACACCCCAGATTGCAACCCCTTGATTAATATGTGTCGGGCTCAGTTGAGCGAGAGACCTACAAAACTCTTCGGAACACCAGATGAACTGCAAGCAAGGATTATGGCAGCATTCACCAACTTATACAAAGAGACCATCCAGAAGAGATGTACGATATTCCGAAGTCGTCTGGAGGCCGTCGTTAAAGCCAATGGCGATTTTACTGAATAAATGTACTATTTAGAATTTCAAGATAGCTTTGTGTAATATTGGTAGCTGAGATTTTAGTGTTATTTTCAAAAGGTTTTAAATTTATGTTCTGATATAAACATAAATACAAATACCGACTAAATTTTTCTTTGTGCCACATTTAAACTATGTCATTGACGAAAATTCATTCATCGCATCCTGTACACACACACACACATATATATAGATAGATAGATAGATAGATAGATAGATAGATAGATAGATATTCTCATTCCCTATAGAAAACTGGGCTCCTTTCTACGCCGCATCCGAACGAAAGTTGACGAAGAGTTGCAGAGGTCGTATTCATTCGGACGTGCAAACATTAGGAGTTTCAGTGAGGATTCACACAGTCCCCAGTCGCATATATATATATATATATATATATATATATATATATATATATATATATATATATATATATATATATATAATATCGCATATTGACTTCTGTTGTTAATAAAATGCAATATATCAGAGCTATAAACGTATAGTATTAAACATTCATTTTCCCTCACCAATATAACGACTCGTCCATTCATAACCCAATCTTCAAGTGCTGATTTAAAACTGACCGTTGAAAAATGCTAAATTTGTTAAATATATCTGGTTATCGCAATGATGAAGCAGTCCTTATTTAATTAATTTTTTTTTATTTTTTAAATAATGTTTTAAAATAAACGTAAAGGTGCTACCAGTGAGGAAAAATGTATATTTATCAACATTATATATATATATATATATATATATATATATATATATATATATATATATATATATATATATTGTAAATCCTTTCCGGCGTTCACTCGGGGGTGGAGGCAACACAATGGAGTCAACGAAAATCAGATGCAAGAGAAAGGATTTCCAAATAAAACATTTCAAAATAAAACATTTAATTACAAATACAAAAACGAATAAAGAAAAGAAAAAAAAATGTTTAACCAAGAGGAAAGGGATATTAGAAAATAACAGAAGGTATGAGCAAATAGATATGTATAACAAGATCAAGCCAATAATCAACTTATCTGTCTTGATGTACTAGTCGAGTTGATATCTCCACACAGAGTTTTAATTCTCGAGACTCATTATGCAAAAACAGTATTTCGTCGGCCGCCAATTTCCTTGGAGAGTTTTTCTTTCGGAATCGCCTGGGATCTACACCGACGCATACGGGCGTTCATTGGTCAATACGTGTTGGTATGTAATAGTTTTTTCCTTCTTTAGCCTACAGAATTTGCTGTTTTCTTTATTCCGGTGAGCAGTCCATTACGAATCGTAGCTATTCATCCGCCGCTGGTTAGACAGGAAACTGCCTCCTTTTTGCTGTCCCCAAAGTTCGTCACGTTGGTTTCCTTTCATTCTTGACCGGGAACGTAGGGGGGATGGGGTACAAATCACAAGGCGGTTGCGTGATGGCCAAATATCCAAGCAACCCTCAGTAGGGTTTGATCACGAGATCGCAACAGGGCAGCCTGATGTTTAAAAATCAGGAGGTCAATTAAAATTTTATATATATATATATATATATATATATATATATATATATATATATATATATATATATATATATATATATATATATATATATATATATATATATATATATATCTTGTCATAGAATACATTACGATGGCTAATAAGATACCCCTAGAACTCCAAACAATTGCGGGCAGACCTGAAGACAAGTTGCTGTTTATTAAATTTTATTTGATATTAAATTACACTTTTATTTTAAAGATTGAGAACTTTGCATTATTTTTTCGTTTTAATTTTGGTATGCCAGCAGTCATATAAATATTATATATATATATATATATATATATATATATAATTATTATTTATAAAAAAATAACATAAGTATGTTATAAAATCACTACAAAAATAGCCATTTTGTTTCAACACACTCGGTGTCTTATATATATATATATATATATATATATATATATATATATGTCTGTGTGGGTGTGTTTGTGGATGTGTGTATGTTGGTGTTCCTTGTGGATTATAGGCCCACGGTCTAAGATCTTTTTTCTTTCTTTTGACGTGCCGTGGCCTTTCAGGACGTAGCCGGTCATGGCTCTCCACCACCCTCTATCCCTTGCAGCTCTCAACAAGTTATTTTCCTCTGCTTCATCTCCCAGACCACGTTCTGTCATCCACTTGCTTAAGCCCGCCAGGTATGTCATGCATTGTTTTCCCTTGTCTCTCTTTTAATCTGTTCGACCCGTGAGTATATGATTCTCCAGGACTTTATTCCTCATTATCTGTCATCAGGATTAAATAGGCTTTATATGGTAGTGTGGTTAAATCCCACACCCAGTGGATTGTTAGAACAGAGCCGACCTAGACTACGAACCAAGATTGGAGAGTCGAGTATTTTACTGATAGCTGGAGGAAAGAACCGACACATTTTCTTTTCACATAGGCATTTTTCGGAAGTGAACTCAATGACCTCCCAATTTCAGCACCGATAATGTCTATGCTACGCGCAGTCATATTTTAGATTTTACTTTATACTCTGTCTACCGAGAAAGTCTATGGATAATTAAAACGAATGTTTCATTATAAATGCTTAACCTTCTTTATAGGTATATCTTACAAAAATGTCATTTTTTTTGCTTTATAATGATGTCCACATTTTCAAAAAGATTTTAAATTCTAAAAAACAGAAAACAACAAGTAACGACTGAAAAATTGTCAACTGGTTATCAATCGAGATGAAATTACATTTACAATTTTTCCATGCTAATGCACAATATTGAAAATGCCTAGATCAAAGTTTTGTAGAACGTCATGACAGAATGTAATCGATAGAAATAAAGACAGAAAGAAAATTATGCAAGAAACATATTCAGTAATAACGATAGATATATTGGCATAGATAGTTATATAGAAACAACAATATTACAAAACTTACGTTCAGCATTGACGGAATATATGCATAAAAAGAGCTTAAAAAAGAAAAAGGAAAGAAAGAAAAAGAAAGAAAAAAGAAAAAGGAAAGAAAGGAAAAAGAAAGAAAGAAAGAAAGAAAAAGGAAAGAAAGAAAAAAGAAGAAAGAAAAGGGAAAGAAAGAAAAAGAAAGACAAAGAAAGGAAAAGGAAAGAAAGAAAAAAGAAAGAAAAAGGAAATAAAGAAAACGTAAAGAAAGAAAATGAAAGAAAGAAAAAGAAAGAAAGAAAAAAGGAGAGAAAAAAGAATGGAAAAGAAGAGAAAGAAAAAAGGAAATACAGAAAAAGAAAAGAAAGTAAAAGAAAAGAAAGAAAGAAAAAGGAAATAAAGAAAACAGAAAGAAAAAGGAAAGAAAGGAAAAGTAAAAAAAGAAAGAAAGGAAAAGGAAAGAAAAAAGAAAACAAACGAAAAAGAAAGAAAGAAAAAGCAAAGAAAGATTAAAGGAAATAAAGAAAAAAAGAAAGAAAAAAGAAAAAATCTTCAAATTGTATTATCTTCAGTACTGACGTATATTTGGGAAAAAAGAAAGAAAAAGAAAGAAAGAAAGAAAGAAAGAAAGAAAGAAAGAAAGAAAGAAAGAAAGAAAGAAAAATCTTCAAATTGTATTATCTTCAGTACTTACGTATATTTGGAAAAAAAAGAAAGGAAAAAGAAAGAAAGAAAGAAAGAAAGAAAACGCCGCAAAGGATATATTCGGTACTAACAATATATACAGGGTGTGGCAGAAATACCTCTCACATATAACTCCCCAAAGAACCTTTTCCTGCATTAGCATTGTGTGGGAGGTATTTCTGGGAGGTATATGTGGGTCGTATTTCTGCCACACCCTTTATTTGCATCGATATATATAATGTGAGCACAAAAGTTTTGCGAAAATCATATTCAGCACTGACGAAATATATTCGCAAAGAAAGAAAGAAAAACGAAAGAAAGGAACCATTTTGAAAAGATTTTATTCAGTTGGAACAATATATATCTGCAGATACAGAAAGAAAGAAAGAAAGAAAGAAAGAAAGAAAGAAAGAAAGAAAGAAAGAAAAAGCTGTAAAAGAAAGAAAATCATATTCAGCATTGACGAAATATAGTCGCAAAGAAAGAAAGAATATAAGAAACAAAGGAATCATTTTCAAAAATATATATTCAGCAGGACCGATATATATCTGCATAGAAAGAAAGAAACAAACAAAGAAAGAAACAAAGAAAGAAAGGAAAGAAAATGCTGAAAAAGAAAGAAAATCATATTCAGCATTGACGAAAGATATTCGCAAAGAAAGAAAGAATATAAGAAACAAAGGAACCATTTTAAAAAGAATATTCAGCAGGACCGATATATAGCTGCATCGACAAAAAGAAAGAAAGAAAAAAAAGAAAGATCGAAGAATAGAAACAAAGAAAGAAGAAAGGAAAAAATAATTTCCAAAAATTATATTCAGCATTTCTAATGTATATCTGCCTATACAGAAAGAAGAAAGAAAGAAAAAAGTATTTAAAAAAGTTAGAATCAGTGCTAACGATATATACTTTTATAGAAAGAAAAAAGTATGGAAGAACGAAAGAAAGAAGAATGATATAAAATAGTTTTCAAGTCCGTTATGTTAATTTGATCAATCTGGAAAAGCTATTATACTTCATTTCAAGAGTTTAAAAGCCCGTTGAACATATCTGATTCAATTGGCTTCAAAACTCTTGAAATTCGATTAAAAAGAAAGAAAGAAAGATGTAGTAAATCTTCCTAACTTTCTCTTTATACAAGTATTTAGATATTATTTCATATTTCCGCCAACAAATCTCTATCAAAAATCGATGTGAAAATTGGTGAAAATCATTCTAAAATTCTATTGATTTCTTAGCCTTCTCGACTGAAGTACCTACTACTAATTAATTTGAAATAAGCCTGTATTACTTGGGCGACATAGATTTTAGTAAAGAAAAAGACTGAAAACCAAAAAAGTAAAAACATTGGAAATCTCATTCTCAATATTCGCTTTAAATACAGAAGTTTTTACTTTTGAATATCCGAATTACTTTTAATGCAAAGATACATTAAAGCAGGAAGCCAGAAAATATACCATTTCCCAAGACTTTGGAAAAGAGATTGTCATCTGAAATAGCTCTGTATCGATAGATAATATATTCAAATTTGAAATAGTTTTTGCATTCACACTTGAACACACTTCAACATCCTATATTCAGCGGCATAAGTGTTCGCCAATATAAATAAAACTATATTTATATAAACATTTATATCTATCTATCTATCTATCTATCTATCTATCTATCTATCAATTTATCAACATCTCTCTGTCTCTCTCTCTCTCTCTCTCTCTGTATATATATATATATATATATATATATATATATATATATATATATAAATGTAAATATAATAATAATAATAATAACTCTCCCGTCGGTTTCGACGTATGAGAATCTGCCAGCTTATTGATTCAGTTATGAATGTTTGTGCGATAATCTTAAGTGGCATTTAAGACCCGCTAGTGATTTACAAAGGAGGCCACATATGAGATCACTGTTAGATTGGCTGACCTTTTAGATCTTGCTCTCGCTTCTTGAAGATTATTCAGACAAGCAGACTGAAAATTGCCGAGTCCACTAAAACATGTTGATCTCCATTCTACCCGCTCCAAAGCTAAGCGCTGAAGGGTGTTATGTGGTATATTGACTGCTGACAAGTTGCTTTTCAGCTTGTCTTTGTATCTTAGCCATGGGCCTCCTACATTCCTGTAGCCCTGATCTAACTGGTTGTACATTAGGATCTTGGGTATCCTGTCATCAGACATTTTCAAGACACGACCACTATATATATATATATATATATATATATATATATATATATATATATATATATATATATATAGAGAGAGAGAGAGAGAGAGAGAGAGAGAGAGATTGTGATTTTTAAGCGTAGTCTAGATGTGGTACAAGGGGAAAAGTATGGAACACCAATGAGGATCGAATTCACTATTCAGTCGTAACTGATCTAGCGAGACAAGCTTGTCAACCATTACACTAAGTGCTCAATATATATATATATATATATATATATATATATATATATATATATATGTGTGTGTGTGTGTGTCTGTGTGTGTGTGTGTGTGTGTGTGTGTGTGTGTGTTTGCATTATCTAAAATGTAGTTTTGATGTATTGCCTAAATATTTGTAATATTGCTGAATATCAGGGATAGAGAAGAGTGAACACGGAGGTCAACATAAGAGTATTGACAACCTGTTTTCATGCGTACATGCAATCTTCAGGCCATGTGAGTTTGGTAGTATCTCTCTTATTTATATATACTAGTCAATGGTGAGTAATGAGTAGCAAAGACAGTTATTTGCAGTTTATTGTTTTATTCTAGGGGCTATCGAAGAGACGGGCATAGTTATATTTAAATTATTATAATACTTTTAGTATCTGTTTATATTCCTGAGATGAAGTATTATGTACACTATTTACATTATTCATCTTTGTCACCATATTTATTACAACGTTTCGGCCGTTGTACGCTCAGGCCTTCTTCAGATGGTTGGAATGTCGAACTGAACCCTTTATTTCGCTCACTGGGGTAGACTCTTTTAGTACCACGTGCCATGTTTAATGGATGTCAGTTATCAGTTATCTCCTGTTACTTCCAACTGCTTTAACCGGGTATTAAACTCACAATCTTTGGGTCCTGTCACTGGATCTAACCAACGCCTTTATCTACTGTTATATGTGTCCTTGAATAGAGGAATTAACAGGAGTTAACATTCCAACCAATTGAAGAAAGTGGGAGCGTACAACGGCAGAAACGTTGTAATAAATATGGTGACATCAGAATTCGGTTTATATATATATATATATATATATATATATATATATATATATATATAGTACAGGTATATAATCCGAGTGGATCCTAGTAATATTAATTATTAAAAATGATCCACGGAAAGCACAATGTGTTACTATAACAACATATGTATTTTTTACAGCTAAAAACCAAAAATTACCTCAATATGGGATAGTCTATTTGAAGCCGTTTTGTACGCGGCTATCATCATCCCCTAAGTATCTGTCTCGGAACGTTGTTTTAAATTTATTTTCAATCTCAGTCCTCCTCTGGTACACGCCTTGTTAATAAGAATGGCTTTGTGTTAGCGACTGATGTGGGTAAGTTATCTTATCCTGGGGGAAGCAGTCTGGGGTTGGAGTTTATTTATGGCTAGATCCTTTCGATGTTTGAAGCTTAATATAAGTTCATAATACGTTGCATGTGTTTTTTTCTGGGGTTTCAGTAAATAGTTTTTTACAGATGTCCAATATAATTAATAAGCGATGGGGGATTTAAAATTAAACCCGATAATATTAATGTAAATTAGTTCAATTATAGATTTATAGATTGTGCTTAATACCAGATCACCCAATGGAATAAATCATGCTCTCCAACAGACTTATATGCGTACCTATCTTCATGCATATATATATGCACATTAACATGTCCATACATCTATACCACTATCCGAACACATACATCCCACATATATGCACATGTATTCTTATGTAATTTTGAATCTATTTCTATGTCTACATTTCGTGATTAGTTCTCTCTGTTGATTTAATAGTTTGCATTTATCTTTATATTTTATTATCCTGATTTTTTTTTCTTCTAAACATAGCTTGCACCTATCCCTAAAACTATTGGATGTGTTCGCCAAACCTAGAATTTTCCAATTTATTTGAGGATTCAAACCCTTTTCCTTCAATTCTCATTTTTCTTTTTTCGAAAGGGCTGTTTGGTGGTTTAATTTTGGATTGGTGAATGTGTCTCTATGCGTATTAAGTTTCTTTTTAAGTCCAGAAATTCCGATGTATATATTATGGTTTATGCTATGATTATGCATGAACATATATAATGTATGTATAATATCAAGGTGTTTTTCTTAAGATAGAATGAATTTTCACTTTCGGCGTTGTATTTATATGAATCGGTGACATACTCTATATTTATACTTTGAGTGGGATAGTATCACGTGAATATAACATCTGTGGGAACTCAGCTATAAGTGTAAATGTTCTCTTGAATATACAAGTTAACCAAAAAAGTTCTGTCCGTTTTTTGATTAGTCATTGAATGAAGTTGAAATATATACGAAATGCGTGTAGCAATTGTTTTCAAATTCAGACAGCCGGAAGTAGGATCATAAGACGTTAAAAAAAACACGCGCACCATTCTCGGCCATCAGTTATAAGCTGGATAGCTGTGAGAAGGCTGGAAGTGTCTAGAGATCTCGTTCAGGGCTGTTTGCTTTACGACTTCAAAGTGGGCTTATCAGCAGCTGCATCAAGTCGCCGCATATGTCAAGCGTTTGGGGATAGTGCTGTGGATGAACGCACTGCAAGGTGTTGGTTTCGAAAATTCAAGTCGGGAGATTTGTCTCTCCATGATGAGCCTCGCAGTCGACGACCACAGGTCTTGAATGACGGAGTGCTGAAGGCGGCCATTGAAGAGGACAGTAGTCTAACGTGTAGTGAACTTGCAAGACAGTTGAACGTTTCCGATGAAACAGTTAGACTTCACCTGCACCGCCTAGGTAAGACGTACAAACTGAGCAAGTGGGTTCCGCAAACGCTGTTGGAGGTCCACAAGGGACAACGGCTCTTCGAAGCTCCAAGAAATTAAAAGATTCCACGCCTAAGTGAAAAATTGCAAATATTTCTTTTTGTACGCAAGCTAGATAGATAGCTATCTATATCTCTGAAATGAGGTATTATGATGAATTGCATTATTTACATTATTCGGACTGTTGTCCTAATCTTCATTGCCATATTCACATTATCCACTGGGCCATGTGTACTCAAGGAAACATGGCCCACTGGATAAAGACATTGATTAGATCCAGTGACTAAACCCAAATAGTTGTGAGTTCAATACCAGACCACAGCAGTGGTGAACCAAATCTTGGAGAGATGAGTTATAGAGAAATAACTGAGACATCCGGAAGAGGCATGACACGTGGAACTAGAACAATATACTCCGGGGGACGAAATAAAGGGTTCAAAATTCCAATCACCTGAAGTTAGGCCGAAGCGGGCAACGGCCGAAACGTTGTGACTATGGCAATGAAGATGAGGACAACAATCTGAATAATGTAAATAGTACAAACTTGATTGAGAGATTTATTTATTTACGGCAAATCAAACTTAAAGCCAGAAGTTATTTTTAGATAGTAAAACATTTCTGTAGATAATAATCATTTACTGATGCATTCCTACTAATTAACCCATAGCGATGGAGGGGTCATACCTATTCCAATGATATTTGCGCGTACGTAAATATAATAAACACAAGTGGATGCAGAACTCAGCTCTCTGATTTCCATTTCCGAGCCGTTTACATGGACGTCACCAACAAACCCAAGTTTACTGCACCTAGTAATCCCAAGTGGTCACCCATCTAAGTACTGAACAGGCTCGATGTTCTTTAACTTCTGTATTTTTGCGCGAACAGGTGTTTCAATGTGAAATCTCTGTAAACAGATAGATAGATAGATAGATAGATAGATAGATAGATAGATAGATAGATAGATAGATTTGAACAGATTCCGGTAGATAGCGAGAGATACTTAAAAAATTAAGTATCTATATAGATACAGTGTGTTATGGATAAATTGCTCTCCGAAATACGCAAAAATTAAAATAACACAGATATCTCATTTTAACAGATATATTTACCAAATTTTCACAAAATATCTTGAAATAATAAATAGTAAATGTATTCAATAAGATCAATATTGGCTTTAATGGATGACTTCGGAATCACCTGCAACTCTTCTGGAGGGTGGCCTTGTTTAAGTTAGTGAATGATCCCATAACCATTGCCTTTAGTTCAGCTATGGAGTTAAAAGGAATTTTGTCTCGCTCGACTGCACCCCAAATATAATAATCAAGGTGGTCAGATTTAAGGAGTGAGGTGAACTGACTTCCATGATAGGGTTTTCCCGCTTGTGTGGCTTGATGCAGAATTGTGTTGTTAGACATAGGTTCTTCCAGCAGCCATCCTTTTGATCCAGGGCAGCACTACCACCTCAGGGGTATTGTTGTAGACTCCTGAGGCCCTCAACAACTATTTCGTGAGTTCTTTTCTGATCAGAACAATCAGAGTGAGTTTTTCGAGTTGATCTACCTTCGTAATCAGCATTAGACTCATCCAACTCTTTCCGAATCCTCTGAACTCTCCAAACACCCTGAAATGTTCCTATTGGAGCTTCCGCTGCGAATGACAAGCATGTCGTTTCCAAATTTCTGGTGGAGTGAATTGAGTCATGGTGCTCATTTTCTTACAGTCGGTGCCCAACTGACCCTACTATACTGTACACTCGACAAAATCAAAATCAAACAACGCTTATGCGCGAAATTCAATATATAATATAGCGACAATTTACCTATCGCACCCTGTAGATTTGAGCAGACTGCGCTAGATAGATAGATAGATTTGAAAGAAATTTAGATGTAGTTTATTTGTAAGATAAAATATCTATGATAGTGCTAAATGGAGAAGTGTCTTTACTTGTTGACAAAATTGTCTAAGTATCCATTACACTTAATCGAATTGAATATTTATCGCATATAGTTTAGATAGCATAACTAAAAACCTGGCTATTACCTCTCTGTATAATATATATATATATATATATATATATATATATATATATATATATATATATATATATATATAGGCGAAGGAATCATATTTTTAAGTAATTATAATACACACACACACACACACACACATATATATATATATATATATATATATATATATATATATATATATAGTTCATATATTAATTTCTTGGTAGTCGTAGAAAATTGATAACGATAGATACCAACATTTTAAATAATTCTTATTTTCCCAAGTACTTTCAATCTCATATAAGGAGGTTAGATCATCTGTGGATGGATGTATGAACGTTTATCCGTAAACTCAAAATGTATTTCACTGTTTGTTGTACTCCGTTTTGCAGCGATCCACGATCACATACAAATTCAAATATTTTATACAGACTCATAAATACTAATGTATCCCCCCACTGATTCAAGTAAAACAATAAAATTAATTATACACTATACTAAATTTAATACAACCAAACTAGTCGTCCATAACAACTCTTCTCCGTATTGTATATGGATTTAAATGTCGTTTGGGAATTTGCGTCTCTGTTAAAAATGTTAATATGTATGTTGGTCTTACAACAACGATCCTGGCACGAAGGCTTACGTTTCACTTGTCCACACTCAGAGTTTAGATATTAGTTGAACATACATGAATCTATCAAAATAATAGTAAGCAAAAATTTAAAATCTAAGAAGCCCTTTATAGAAAATAATTAAAGCCAAAAATAAATAAAGTCAACTATGAGTATAGCAAGAAAGTTCTTTAATGTTCGTAGCAGCAAAGTTTAATATAATAATAATAATAAATACAAAAGTTACCTCCCTTGCATAGGAAAATAGATAGATATTATTCGTCTAAATTAATTAACCAACCTTATAGAGAGCATAATTTTATACACACACAATCACACACACACACACACACACACATATATATATATATATATATATATATATATATATATAATTAAACCTAAAGAGCCAGATAAACCTACCAAGGTTTCACCTACTCGGATAGTCAGGGAATACTGGCCTGTATTCCCTGAGGATGCAATTAGGTGAAACCTTGGTAGATTTATCTGGCTCTTTAGGTTTAATTAGGTTTGCTCTACTTAGCGTATTGAGCACTTAGTTATTTTACTTATTCGTATCAGTTTTTTTTTTTTGGGGGGGGGACTCTGAACTTGGATACCAAACGATTGTCTTCGGCTGATGTACATGTTCTCTCTTCTTTCCTTTTTGTACCTTTTTTTTTCCTTGGGTATTGGTCTGTTTGTTTACATATCAAAGTACCCAATGTTTTCCGGACGAGTATAATTTCTTATATTTATGAGATTATTACAAATATATATATATATATATATATATATATATATATATATATATATATATATATAGGAAAATATATTGATATTATTCGTCTAAATTATTTAACCAACATTATAGAGCATAATTTTATACACACACAATCACACACACACACACACACACACACACACACATATATATATATATATATATATATATATATATATATATATATATATATATATAGTAATAATCTCACAAAGACTTACTGAGTGTGAAAGAATGAAAAAAGAGAAAGATTAAGGAGCAGAACAATAGAAGAGTAATCAGGAAGACTGTAGATAACGAATGATATTGAATTAATATATTTGAAGTTCATATTTGGCTGGCAAGCGTGGAGCCGGAAGAGTCTTCCACGGGAGAGAAGTGCGAGAAAATAAACTATGGTTACCTCTAGCCAATTCAACTGTAAATTGATCAGACCTTGTTGCCAATTTCGTACTGCGTTCAAATTCATGAAGTTTACTTATCGTAGCGGAAAGTCCGTCAGCTCAATTACCGTGAAAGTATATATGTATAGAAAAGGCCAAGGAAAACTACATTATGGTGGTGAGCATATGACTGAAGCCGAGAAGCCAGGTTAAGTCCAATAATATTACTGATTCTTCTTTGGATCTTATCAAGAAACTGTTGTTACATCTAGCAATTTCAATTGTAAGATGATGAGACCTTGCCGCTAGTCACTTAAATTAATAAAGTCTAGGTACCAAAGAGTTTACCCTGGAAACGTTCATAGAAAATGCACAGGGAAGCCACGTTACAGCGGTAGGAATGTGACTGAAACCGAAATGCCAGGAACAGTAACCATAGTATACCTTCTTTAGACTATCTCTAAATGTCTAGAAGACGCACCAAATGAGATCTGAGACTAATATCCAATGCATAGACAAATGGAAGCCTTGTAAATGTGTGAGATAGATTCTGGTGTGTAATATCCGTTGTAGCTCTCAATAAGTTTCGTCCCCATGCCACTTTCCCCATACCACGATTTCTAACTAAATCATCAAATAGGATAGAATGATTAGGACAAAAATGTGTTACTATGGTCAAACACACTGACGAGTGGGGGGAGAGAAAAAAAATAAATGACTAAATAAAATAAAGTAAAATAAAATTTAAAGATTAAAAAAATAAAGATTTAAAAAAATCGAAAAAAGATTAATATGAGTTTTCGGTAGAGTGAAATTATACTCACACAGGGCAGCAAGTGTTTGTCCGCTTTCTTCCTCATGATAACAAGTGAATGTACGACTTACCTTAAGTCCAAGAATCGACCTGGTAGGGGGGGGGGGATCCACGGCCAATCCTCCGCCCTCACCAAATAGTGGGCTTGGGAGACATGCTTTCAATAAAAATTAAGAACAACAGGAGAAAGAAACGGCGAAAACAATTCCAAGTTCAGACAATTTATCAAGCAAGAAGATTCGGCCAACTAGATCATGAGAATACTGACGAGAGACTTTCGCATGTAGCCAAAGACATTCAATTTTCCCTTTTTTCTGATTTTTCTATCGAACCGGGATTTCTAACTAAACCATCAAATAGGTTAGAATGATTTGGACAAAAATGTGTTACTATGGTCAAACAGACTGTTGAGTAGGGGGAGAAATAAATAAATAAATATATAAAATAAAATAAAATTTAAAGATTAAAAAAAGTAAAGATTTAGAAAGTGCTTTAATCGCTCGAACATCGACAATAATTTTGCACCGATATTATTACATTTCATTTTACTTGGCAGATCTATTATAGAATATTTAATAACAAAAGTGATTAAAGCATAGTAAAAACAAACTAAATAGAAATAGGTTAGACTATATAGCCCCCCTAAATATATTTTTAAAAATTGAATTTCTGTTTCCCCTCTCCTCGCGGAAGTTTAGTCACATAAAGATCACTTTAGTCCTGTGATTTCCTAAGTGACGAAACGCGCCACGCGAAAACTTTTTACTTTGTTATAAACTGTCTCTGATATATATATATATATATATATATATATATATATATATATATATATGAGATCGACACTGAATCTTTGAAACACTATACTTACATCGAAATAGAGATGCATTAACTGAAGAGTGTCTACTTGTATGTTTTTCTTAATCCATCTCTCTGAGTACTGACCATTATAATAAAACTGAATGAAACTATTATAAGAGATGCGCCCCACGTTCGCCATTGATTCTAAGTGGAGCATCTTAGATCACCATCTTCACGCGTTAACACATAAATTCATTGCACTATATACACTCTTAATTCATTCCCTCAAAACCTATCAAAGGCATATGCTTCTCTCTTGTGATAACGGTCGTGCACTTTTAGGTCAAGGATAGTATGAGATACGAGTGATCTTTGTAAGGCACAGCACTCTGTCATGGGCGATTTGGGACAATTTTTCGACTCTTGAATGCATACATAGTTGCATAAATGTGATCAAAATATAGTTTTAAGATATAATATATTTATGGGTAAAGGTGCTCAATATCAGAGTGCACACTAAGATCAAAGTCAGATCTGAAGATTGCGTTTAGGCATGAAACAGACTGCCACCACTCGGGGCTGACCTCAGTGTCCATTCACATATTTACAAACAGACACAGCCACACACACACACACACACACACACACACACACACACACATATATATATATATATATATATATATATTCAGTTGTATGGGTATGACTATGTGAATCTGAGTTTCACGCTTTTGCGATCATCAGACAAACTGGATTATTTTATATATATATTAGACGAATTATGTCTATTTATTTCATTTTTAATCCTTTCGAGTTCACGAATTCATTTATTGGTGCACGTAGAAAAGTGATTAAGAAAACTACGAAAATTTTCTTTCAAACAATTTTTATTTTCCCAAGTACTTTCAATCTCATCTGGGACCATCTTCAGTGGGTAAAGTTGACCGTGGATGCGTATACGTAGTGCCATATATTCAAAATATATTTTAATGGTGAAAAACATATTTTGAATATAGGAAACTATGTGCACAAACACACACGCATATATATATATATATATATATATATATATATATATATATATATATATATATAAACTCCCTCTGTTAAGGTTTAATCTCCCACCTTCTCTCGTCTGTTACCCTCTCTTTAGCTCTAACATTCGTCCCACACTCTCATACTTACACTCTCTCTAAATTCTATTTTTTATTTCTGGAGTTGTTTCTTCTGTTTTCTTTTTGAATTTGTAGGTCTGATAAATTCGATCATATTTACGATTCCAATGGAATAAATTATGACTATGTTATATTAGTGTTTAAGCCTTTATATATATATATATATATATATATATATATATATATATATATATATATATAAGGAATTAATGAATGTCTTTTAATCCGACATTTTTATTAATTCGAACGTTATAGTGGACACTGTGTATTTGAAATAGACGCCACATTTTTTATTTATTAAACAGGATGTATTACGTCTATCGGGACGGATTCGATAATATAATACCCACCCCCGCCATTTGTTTGGCGTGCTTATCACGTGACCAAGGAGATTGTCTCAGTTCAGCAAGTCTCTATTTTATCTTTTAAAGGAAAGCACACTCCCTTCACTCAGATTATTTTACTCGAAAACCCATATCTGCTCGATTTCGTAACCAAAACGCAAGCAAAACAATGTCTAAGGAACTAATGGATATTTTTATTACTTCAAATGATAGTCTAGTGGACACTTCATATGCGCTTTGATAATTAAAAGTGGTGCGTCTATTACTTTATTCTCTCTCTCTGTCTCTATCTGTCTGTCTGTCTGTCTGTCTGTCTGTCTCTCTCTCTCTCTCTCTCTCTCTCTCTGGTCAGCAAGTATTGGGTATGACTATACACCCGACACCAAGGCCTTTGATCAGGAGATTGCAGGTTTTGAGGAGCTTGGAATCAGCTCTTAATTGCTGTTGTTCCCAGGTCCACTCTGACCCGGGGTGGTAGCACCTGTTAGGATCCCAGCAATGGGCAAATAGTGAACCCCCAAAACAAACAAACAAAAAATACCTATTATTGTAGTAAAATTACAAGCAATATTTTTATATAAAAAAAAATAACCAACAATAGCTATTTATAATAAAATACATTTTATCTGTAGTTGAAGGCATACTGTTACGTTTAAAATATACTTAGTTGAAGAGAAACTTTAATGTGTATTACAGCGCGGTCCATTCATAATCCAGCTTACTTCAGAAAAACAACTGACGGTCATACTACACAAAGTGAAGTAATATTGCTGACTCAAAGGGTGAAAGAAAGCAGAACCAAATTGCATCGAAATTTGGAATTTCGCGTTAAACTCTAAAATGTCGTTTAGGAATTTCATAAATATGACGAAATTAAATAACGCATGAAGCTTGATTTGCCGCTAAACAGAATCAGCCCAACAACTTTGGTCGGAAGGTTAAAAATCAAAATCAAAATGTTAATGTAATTTTTACAGACTTCATTAAATCGTTCTTTTATAATGGAATACGTCACGAGAGCGCCTCTCGGTGCCTGCTTGATTTGACGCTGTCCGCTGACCTAAGATAGAACAAATACATTGAATCAATAGCTTCATCTACCGCAAGAAAATGGGTTCTCTGTGTCGAGCCAGAAAGTTTTTTTTTCGCCAGAGTCCACCCTTCAAATCTATAAATCAACCATTCGCCCTTACATGGCATACTGCCGCCATATATGGTCTGGAGCACCCGCTGTTCGTCTCAAGGTCCTTGACAAAATCTAGAGAAGGATATGCAATGTGCTCGGTCTTGGTCTGGCATCTCGTAAACAGTTACTTTCTCAGAGACGTGCCGCCGTTTACATGTCTTTTCTACAAGTACTTTCACGGTAATTGCCTCGACAAGCTACTTTTTGCTAGTTCCCAAACTGCATAAATTTAAGCGTGTTTCTAGGTTGGCATCTCAGTCTCACCCTTTCACTGTTGAAACGGTGAAATGTAACCGTCTCTTCTAGACTAATAGCTTCATGTCTCGCTCTTCCCATCAGTGAAACTCCTTTCCTCTTACTTGCTTCCCTGATAGTTATAGTCTTCAAATATTCAAATGTAATGTCAATCGATATCTTCCGATGCCTTGATCTAATATCCCCGTCCTTCTCTTTCTCCTTCCCTCAATCACATCTCGTTACTCTTGCTCGCACTCACTGTAACCCCTTGGGTGCTAGTAGCACTCTCGCCTTGCTTGGGGTGAAATGCTTAAGAAAAAAAACACTGATAAAAATAAAAGGTTGCATATATATCATAGCAAGACAGGGGAAATATACTTGGATAAATTATTCCTTTCGCCAATTAGTGAGAAAAAAGGATTAATATCTTCTATTTAATATTATATTTTCTTTTACTCTAATTCTTCGTTATTTTCCATCAATGTCTTTTCGTTTGTGCAAGACCGTAGTCCGCTATTCACAACGTAGTCCATGCATCTATAAGGGATTATTTGTCATTTATTGCTGAGGTGAGTGTTCATATCTCTACCAAGTTCGGCCCTCGCTCGCGGAGCCAGGTGTAGCTGTTTTTTTTTTTTATCGGGAATCTGTTATTCAGTGCCTGGGAAATAACCTCAAGTTAACTCTGCATCTCGCTTCACTGATATCATTCTGCGTGCAAAGTATATTCGAGCAAAATCCTGGATAAAATCCTTACTACATTTTGATGTCTGATGTGACTATTTATTTAGGATACTAAGATATCTTCTTCTCACAAAAAATTCTATGAAACTAATTTTTTTTAAGCGTTTCACCCCAAGCAAACGGGCAGTCACTAGCACGCAAGGGGTTACTGATAATTGGAGTGAGAGCAAATAGGAGTCATAGAGAAAAGGATGAAGAGAAAGATAAGAGGATAGATCAAGGCATCTGGAGAGGTCGATTGACATTACATTTGAATAGTTGATTATAGCTATCAGGGAAACAGGAAAAGAGGAGGCTGTTCCAAAGGCGGGAAGTGCGAGACATGAAGCTATTGGAGTAGAAGAGACGGCTACATTTAACAGTTTCGACGGTGAAATAGAGAGAGCGATATGGCAGCCTAGTTGAACGCTTAAATTCATGAAGTCTGGGAACCAGCGAAAGCAGCTCATCGGAGCAGTTACCGTGAAAGTATTTGTAAAAAAAGACAGAGGGAGGCGACGGCTCGTTTTCAGACGAGATACCAGATCCGGGTCAATGACGTTGCATATATCCGTCTCTGGATTTTATCAAGGAGCTTGAGAAAAACAGAAGGGGTCACAGGCTATATATGGCAGCAATACTCCAATTAAAAAGATATGGATAAAACCGCTTAGAATGTTTATATGTGGCACGAGTAGAAAAACATTTGGAAATCTATTTAATTTCATTTTTCGCACCCAATACATACATACATATATATATATATATATATATATATATATATATATCGACAGTGAAGAAACGAATTAAAGTTTACACTCCTTGCACGAAATTGCTCGATGCTTAAATACACCTCGATAAAAGCAAACTTATAAGAGAATGGATTATAACACTTCAGTAGATGTATCTGCAAGGTTGGGGATATTGATGATAAGTAGGTAATATAAGTGTTATTGTTATCGACCAACATGTTCTTGAAATAAAAGTAGTTGTAACTCATGAACTTTATCAGACATCTTTGCGGACAATCATCAAAATGTTTTAACGTGTTTTCCCAAACTGTGTTTGCAACTAAAACCTGAAGAATAAAAACTCTTGCTTCATTTTGCTAGCTCATATTCGATTTTGTTTTCATTTCATTTTTATTGTCATCAATATTTGCATCACACACAATATTAACTTGAGTGAAATGTGTTTCTACAATCATTCACACGGGATTAATCTGTTTGTCAGGAGGTCGAATAGACATCTGATTCTAGGTCTGTTAAGATATAAAACTCTCTGATCATCATCATCATAATAACAACAACAGGATTTTTTGGTGGGGACCACTTCTCTTAGCATTTCCGAGTTGAGAGTCGAGGGGTATTCAATTCATGCATAGCGTTTGTAGTTAAATAAACCTAACGAAGTCCATCCCCCACCCGGTGAAATTAGAGCAGGTCTCTTCAACATTTAGTCCTTGCTGGAGACATAGCTGTTGATTCCATCAAGGAAATCCTCCGCTCTGATCGTTTACTTCAGTCTGTGAAGCCCCACACCTAGCAATGTCCTATCATCACTGCCATTTGCTGCATCTATAGCTAGTGAGCCCAGTCTACCCCATTGTGCAAGATCGCCGTTGATCCAATACGACGGGTTAAACGACCTTTTAGCGACTTTGTTTGTAAACCTGTTAGGTGTTTAGACACTATCCTCGCCAGAATATCATTGTGGGGAAAACCGATTTAT